TCACTGACTATCACTGGAGACGACACTTGAACAAACACGAATTGGCAGTTCGGTTCAGACCTGCTGTAAACTGATGGCTATAGTGCTAGCATATACTCCTACCATGCGATATTTCCGGATTTTAAAGCCCGGATAGGACGATGGGTGTGTACTGCTGATGAAGAGCTCTAATAGGAGTGTACCTCGAATCTGATGTTTCGAGTCTATGGTTGACTGGAAAGGCTGAGGACCGGGCGTAAAGGAAACTTATGAATTTTAACCGTTCAATATATAAAATCATTAGGACTGACGGTTGGATTGTAGGCTTTGGAATGGAAACATTTGCGGAATTATTAAACTCCTCCAGATTTTCCAATAACGGTAACATAATTGAAGTTTTGGATGAATTGATTGGAGCTGGTAAACGATTGTAAATTTATTCCGTATTCCACTTTTTCCTTTTCTACCCTGTGCTCTCATTCGTAGCGGCCTTGGTGGATTCTAGTATATTTTGTATCCATGGTGGGCTCTCTCCGGATCTGAAAAAACTCGATCAGGTAAGAAAATGTGCGACCAGCGCTTTTGCTAAGATACATCTGTCGTTCTGTCATCGACCGTTCCGTCTGTTCACATTTCAGCTCAATCAGATTCGCCGTCCGACAGAAATCCCGGATATTGGAATCATTTGTGATCTTCTCTGGTCTGATCCAGATAATGTAAGTCACTTGAATTGTGCATACGAGTACGTTGGATAAAAGACTGGCGTAGTCGAAAGCTTTCCGATCGGCTTGCATGTGATGAGTGTCTTCATTATCAGTACTGCTTCTCTATTCATTTGATCAACTCAGTAAATCTATTTGTACCAAATGTCCAATCAGGGATGAGTTTTTCAACTCATTGAATATAGGCCATTGTGGCGCAGTAAAACCATTCTCATGCTATTTGAGTCCGGTGCAAATAATCCATTAACCAAGATATGTTGAGTCAAATTCAAAGTTTTATTTTGTGAATTACTTACAAGATCATGCTTCTGTTGTCGGCATAGGATATTTGCACATTTGAATCGTTTCATGAAAAAAAGAATCACATAGAGTTCCAGGTATTATATATATATATATATATATATATATATATATATATAAGTGCGAAAACCGTAATCCATTGGGAGCCGGTGTCCAGTTCATCGGATCATACGCCCTCCGGACGGGGTCAGACGTCCAAGGTGCCCAATAC